ATTTAAATAATTTAAATATGTATTGTAAAATTTAATTTAACCTCCTATTCAAGATTTCATTTGGAACAACTTTCTTACTGCTTCAGCTTTCTAGTACAAAAATTTTAATTTTTGTATCAAAAAGATGCTTTAAAAAGACAAAAAAATCATCCCAAACAAAACTTTGGGATAACTTTTTTGTTACTTCTTAAAGCAACTTTCTAATAAAAAATAATAATTTTTGCACTAAAAAATTATTTTAAAAAGTAATAAAAAACCGTCCCAAATGAAGTCCACTCAGTATTAAACATCTTTTTTTTATTCTATGTATGATCTGCTTTTTACAACCTTGACTATAAATCAGTAAAAAATAGTATTTTATGTGTAGAGAAAAGTTCATATAATGAGCATGAACAAAATTATTATGAAGTGCTAAAGCAAATATTTTGAGTTGTCTTATTTTGGTTCATTAGTGAAGTTCATAAATGTGAATGATTTGATTCTACTCAAGGATCACAAGTATAGACAAGTCCTACTTCAAGCAAAAAAAAAAATAACACTATGGATACTTTGAGGATACTTTGAAGGCCAAAAAAACACTATGGATAAACAAATTGATAAAGACCAAAAGAATGCCTTTCATGGAAAATAAACTCCCTCTCATTCACCAAAATAACCATCAGAGTGCTACCTTCGCTAATTTACATTTGCCCAAACAACTGAAAAAGTCCGCATCAATAGGCAAGCAATGAATACTTCACCCTCAAAACAATCTTTCCTTTCTCAACTCCAAACTTGCCTCCAGTAATAAGCCAATGCCCAGGAACATCATCAGGTCCTTTGGAAATCTCAGACATTTCTATAAGCTTCTGCAACTTCCCAACAACCTTGGAGCTTGAGCTCTGTGAATCAGTAGAATTAGCTGACTCCTTCACTGCTTCATACTTGAGATTTTCACCTGATAGAACTGGATTGTGATCCCAGAAAGATCGCCTGATAGTGCAGCCAGGTAACTTGGAATAAAGAAGCTTCAAGTAGAGAACATTTTTAGACCCAAAATCCCAAACGCCAAGCTGAGCTCCAGTGACTACGAAGGCACCTGATAAGTCATCAATGAAGGCATCATTGTGCTCGATTGGAGCTGTGCTCACATGGGAAAAGTTCTTCCACCTTACAGGTTCAAACCACCTGCTGTCTTGTTCTTCAGGTCCTTGCCACTTGGGCGCACCAATTGGGATATGAGAATCCCAATATTGTTGGAGAACTTTTGGCAGGGATGCCAAGTGTTGCAAATGAATGGTCAATCTATTCTGTTTCATTCCTTCCAAACAGAGCCTCAACCCAGTTACAGGCCTGCGGACAACCGATACCTGTGTTGTTGCCAGTTAGGGTTTAGGGTTTACAAGATTATTAATCAATTTTGACTATTTCTTCATAACCCATGGAAATTTTACCTGTTCTAGGCTGATGTAAAGCTTCTGACCCATCACGCTGAACTGCAAATATGGGCAGACTGGCTCTTTCCTGTGATGCCCTGGAAGATTTTCTCTTATTGGAGCCCATACCCGAGCAACTTGAAATTCTAGGAAGTACTGCAGTTCCTCAATGGGTGGCTTATCTGTAAATTAGACATTGAAGAAATTTCAATTTTAAATCGTCAAGACAGAAACGAGAGGACTCAGTTAAGCCAAATCCTAAAAACAAAAGCAAAAGTGCTTTAAGAGGGAGGGGTTCGTACATTCTAAATAAAGAGCGATGGCACGGATTAGATGGTCCTTCCCAGGAATTCCATCAAGAAGAAAAGCGATAGGCATAAAGGTCATCTCAATAATGTCAGGTGCATGCCTTACAGTATTTTTCCACTGGCTGTGGCTTTGAATGAGATCATCCCCTCCTCTTCTTCTGAAAATGATTGTGACATCCTGCATCAAACGTTATTCAGATACAACACTCTTTGAACAAAAGAATATTCTGTTAAAAACTCAACTAAATTGGCTATTCTCTGTGCCAACATCTTTTGAGAATTCAAATATAATAAAGTATGATGATCAAAACATAACACAAACTCCTTCCGTTACAAATAATGTCCAATATCAAAGAACTTGCATTATATCATAGAACTCTTACATAATTTGAATATTTGTTTTAGCTTCATTCAATTTCACACAACAGAAATCAATGAGGTGTCCTTCATGACTTAACACTCCTTTAATATCTACACTAAATGCTTCACAGAAACCCACAAAGACCTTATTAAAATACCAAGCATTTGAAAGTTTATTTGATTTCAATTAAAAAAAATGATCATCAGATTTAGATAAATTCTCCTTTTTTTCAACCAACTTGTAATTCAAGTCATAAAATTACAAAATCATTTATTAAATAAATCATCTAAAAGCAATAGCTAAATAATGTAAAATCTAAATATCATGTATATTAATAGATTTTGACAAATCATTAATTAAATGGATCTTTACTGAGAGGTTTGTTGGAGAAGCATAGGGAGAATAAGGATGATCTACAAATGATATTTATTAATTTCGAGAAAGCATGTGATAACGTTTCAAGAGAAGTGCTCTCAAGTGTTCTAGGAAAAAAAAAGTTAATAATATTTATATTCATATCATTAAGAATATGCATGCATGAGTTATTAGTTGTGTTCAAACCCAAGGTGGTTTGACCAATTATTTTTGTATTTTAGTTGGTTTACATCAAATAGCAACTTTAAGCCCATATTTTCTTGTTTTAGTCATGGATGTTCTTACTAGACATTTGCAAAAGGATGTACCTTCGTGTATGCTTTTTGTTAATGATATTCTTCTTATTAATAAGACAAGTAAACTTGAACTATGGAGGTCAACCTTATAGTCGAAACTAAATACATGAAGTATAATTTTAGTACCAATAAATCTAATTGGGAGATTGTGACTTTTGGAAATCAAGTCATTAAAAATAGTATATGTTTTAGATATATCGGGTTTATTATTCAAATTGATGGTGAAATAGTTGGGGGATATTATTAGTAGAATTCAAATTGGATGGTTGAAGTGGAGGAATGCAACGCGCCTGTTATGTGATAGAAAAGTACCCCTTAAAAAGAAGAAAATTTTCTATAAGATGGTGGTGAGACCTACAATACTTTTTATGGGGTAGATGGTTTACCATTAAAAGAAAAACATGAAATTAAGCTAAGTATTGCAGAGATGAGTATGCTCAAGTGGATGAGTGGCTTTACTCTTAGAGGCATAATGTGAAATGAGTATATACATGAAAAGGTTAGAGTAGCTCCAATTGCAGATAAAATTAGAGAGAGACGTCTTAAATGGTTTGGTCACATAAAACACTGACCTTTTGATGACCCGGTTATAGAAATCCTAAATCATAGAAATCAAAATATCATGAATTATCAGCTAGGTGTTATTTCCTGCGCACAACGTCAATAGTAAGCCTTACTTTGATCACATGTGCCTTGCCCTGAAAATAGTGCAGGGGTGTGCTACACCATGCCACACTACGAGATGCAACTCACTATTGATATTTATGCCTAGACACAACAAATTCTAGAAAGATCACAAATTGGTACAAAAACAACAATTTTTTTTATATTTATAAGATAATGGATACTTTCCTAAGGTGCACCAAATGATAATATCATGTATTGTTATAAATGAAAATGTAATAAAAATAAAAAATAATTTTAATAAAAGGTCACAAGGCCTTATTTATTGTTCTCGTGAAATTATTAGGTGCTTTAGTTAACCTTAAGGGTATTACTAACCATTGATATAATCCATGAAACATTTTACTCACCGTTTTCTCTCATTCAAATTGATCATAATCACTTCTACATTAACTTTGAAAGATATCACAACATTCACTATACCTAATATAGCATCCAAATGAGGTATAAGAAACATATTTTTAATTAAGGTTTTATTCATGGATCAACTACCTACACACTTTTGCTAACAACCATATTTTGTTTGGTGTAAGCAAACTATGTATACTGCAAAGAGTCGAAGAGTAATGCTTTCCTTACTAAATCACTTCTCATGTAACTTTTCAACTTTACTTTTAAGTTTATCACATTACATTTGTTTAATTCTATGATGAAGAGTTTTACAATGAAGATCATGAAATTAAATCAATAGCATACTGTAAATCCATATGTGATGGAACTTCATCGAGATTTTTATCACGACAAATATCTTTACAATCAACTAACACTAAAACAACATCATCACATAAATTCACAAGTTCAACAACTATATTTTCCAACTCAATGGAAAATAAGGCAAAAATCACACCTCCTTGCCTACTCTCTCTTTCAACTGCATGCTTATTCAAAATTTAAAAGACTTATATTTTATGTGGATCACTAGATTCTTATGCCCATTAAAATTTATTCTTATGCTTTATAGGTTGGAAAATTATCCTTCTAATATGAAACATGGATACAAACATGTGAACGCGAGTATAAAAATGATGCACATGACGATATGGTGAAACTAGAAAAAAGTAGGACTCAAAACACATGAATGCATTGTTATATTTTATAAATTATTAATATGAAATATATAATTTATACTATTCTAGTAATAAAGACATCATAGTAGAAACAATAGCAGCAACAACAAGCCATTATTTCACTACGTGGGATCGACTACATGAATTTTTTTTCTTAATTATATCCTATTAAGAGTCAAATTATAATTTAAATCTAATAAAAAACACATATCTAAAGCTGTATGACCAAATCTTTTTAGGTCTACCTCTATTTCTCTTAACATAAGTCAAATCTAATACATCTACTCTTCTAAGAGAGTCATCGAAAGACTGATGTTTTATATGATCAAATCATCTAAAGCGACTCCCTCTAATTTAATCTACCACTAAATGCACTACAACCTTTTCATGCATATACTCGTATGTGCAACACTAACTTAATCCACTTATCCACCTAATCATCCTCATATGTGCAACACTAACTTAATTTTATGCTTCTTTTGTAATGGCTAACATTCTATATCATAAAGTATTATAGATCTCACCACCTATTTGTTAAATTTTCTCTTAAATTTGATGGGTAATTTTCTATCACATAATAGCTTCGATGAATTCCTCCACTTCAACTATCCAACTATAATTCTACAAATAATATCCCCATTTATTTCACCATCACTTTAAATAATAGATTCAAGATATCTAAAACTCTTTTAAATGACTTGATCACCCAATGTCTTCCCATGTTTAAATAAGTTTGAAAACTTGTAGTTTGCTTCTACTCAGATTCAACCATAAGAATAGTTATGATGAAAAGCATGACTTATAAATAATTATCAACTAATATATCATCCTCAAAATCACTAACATCTTCAAACTCATTAGTATCAACATAATCATTAATTTTATTATCTTCTTCCTCCATATCTATACGTAAGCTTCAACTAGGTCACACAGTTAAATTTCAAAATCCATGGATAGCATATTACACCATATTCCATCAGCAATCATTTAATCAAAACTAAATATCACCAAGAAAAATATATAATAGTTTATCTACTTAAGCTACCTTATATAAATCACTGATGTTAAACTACCTTATATAAATCACTGATGTGGTCCAAGTTCTAAATTGGTATAAAGTAGACATGGACAAACTTCACACAACCCCAAATATCAATTATGAGATTGCAAAATCATTAACTTCTTCAAACTCTTTAGTATCAACATAGACATTAATTTTATTATCTTCCTAGTCCATATCTATAAGTAAGATTCAACTAGGTCACACAGCAAAATAATGACTAGTCTCACGTCAACACATAGAAATGACTTTACTCAAATCAAGTAGTTGCACCTCTATTAAACTTGATGAAATCACACATCCAACTTACAAAATTGAAAGCTGAAAAGAAAATTTTTATAGTCAAAAAGGATTTTTAGTACATGCCTCAAAATATTTTTTATAGACTATGCATATCGAAGCTAATAGATATTGTTGGCACAAAATCAGCCAAATTTAAGTTTTAAGTTAAATCTAAAAGATAACGTTAATTCAATTCAATAAAGAATCACTTAAGCCTTAAATCAAAACATTTTACAAGCCTATCTTAAAATTTTGGAGAAAGCCCAAACTTGTTGAATTTGATGAAGCAAGATAAGGACTGTAGCAAGTTAAGCCCATAACAATTTTCAAAATACCAGCGGCAATACGTCTCTGGGAAATATGCACAACAACAGAACATCAAAACAACTATACACCTGCTTTCCAAAACCACAAAAAACTGCAACTCCCCAGAACCGCAACACATATAACCAAGTTTGCCGATTGCACATAAACCAAATAAGAGGAAAAGCAGATTCTATACTTGTAAAAGTAAGAACAAAAAGGCACTAAATGTCAATTATGCAACCAGAGGCACAAAGCTTTAGTCATGAATTTGTGGGTAATAGCTTCAACAAAAACAATAATATTAATATTACCAAAGATATAACATAATCTATTTGGTGGACGAGTTTCAGATCATGATTAAAAGATTAAAATATTCACAAAACATAAAAGCAAGTGAAATTTTATGAGGACTGTTGATACCTCTTTTGCACTAAGATACGGAGCAGTAGGTGGTTGCGGATATACACCCTGACCATTAAAAGAAAAAGGATCGGTGGCCTGGAAATACATAACAACGAAGAAGGTAATCAAAATGAAACAATAGCAGAAAGACAATATAAACCCAACTCAAGATAAGAAACAAAGCACTAGCCTTATCTTTCATTTTCATTGGACCAGAACTTGAATGACCTTCATTTTCAGAGAATCTCTGATCTCCTATATCTTGGATATAATTTTTTATGTCCATGAACGATAAGTGTGATGAGCTTTGCTGCTTGACATATATTTCATCCTTACCACCAATGGTAACTGATGTAATAATGTGAGTGCCATAACTTTCAATAAATCTGCAAACAGGAAAATTTTTTAGTCCCAACCTTAAACATTTGAATAATCTTGTTAAGCTAAAAAAGCTGCCTAACCTGGCTAACAATGATGGTTCCCAAGAACTTGGTACGGCCTTCTTAACATCTTCTCCTAAGGATGAAGGTTGTTTGGTTAGCATAACCTTACACAAAGGCATAAACATTCCATCCATAGCAAGGCTTTTTGTAGAAGCCATATCAATTTTCTTTGAACCAGTAAAGCTGAATGCAAAATTGAAACCACCAAGAGGAGTATTTCCTGAGAGCTGAGCTCTCTTGTTAAAAATTCCTGCCATCTGCAGGGAGTCATCACAAGAGCAAAAAAAAAGTTTAATTTAATTTATGTATCAAGCATCTAGTTCTCAAGAGATCAAGAGCTCATAATTGCAGCTGAAAGAAACTTGAACATCCAAATGAAACTTCGAAAATAACATACATGATATGAAAAATAAGAACTGCGAGAATTTACAGTTACGCAGACAAGTAGATTAAAGATTTTAGCTTTTAGTGAGGACAAAAGATGTATTTAGAAATCAGTCAATCAGAGATAGAAGAAATAAGGACTTAGTTCAAGTATGGTGCATTAAAAATGAAGATCAAAAAGTATTTTTCTTAAAAGAAAATATTTAACATAGGTGGATGAGATATATCGATAAACTTTTCAACAAAGATTGTAAAATTATGATTAACAATAGTGACCTTAGCATCCTAAATGAAATATAAACTTTTATTTTTATCATTGTATTAATAAAATTGAAGTTGAAGATGCTTTAAAAAAATGAAGTGTGGAAAAGTAATAGGACCTAATGATATTCCAATAGAAATTTCGAAATGCTTAGGAGATCAAGGAATTTCTTAATATTATTTTGAAGACTAAAAAGTTGTCAGATGAGTAGAGAATGAGTGTATTAGTTTTTATTTTTAAAAATAAAAGTGATGCACAAAAGTGTAAGAATTATACAGGAATTATGTTAAATGTGTCATACATATAAATTATAGCAGAGATTAAATGAGCTTAAGTTATGACATAATACTAGTATTTCTCAAAATATGTTTGGATTCATGCCAGATAGGTCTACTATGGAAGCTATACATTTGTTGAGAGGATTGATGGACAAGTATAGAGAGAGTAAGGAGGATCTAAATATGATATTTATTGATTTAGAGAAAGCATGTTATCAAGTTCCAAGAAAAGTGCTCAGGAGATTTCTAGAAAAAAAAATAATGCTTATATTCAAATCATTAAAGATATATATACAGGATCTATTACTTGTGTTTAAACACAAGGTGGTTTGATAAAGTATTTTTCCGTTTTAGTTGGATTACATCAAGAATTATCTTTAAGCTCATATCTTTTTTCTTTAGTCATGGATATAAGAAAGTGGCAAAATGATGTATGTTGGTGTATGTTTTTTGTTGATAATATTCTTCTTGTTGATAAGTATTAAAGGAAAAAACAAAAGATCAATAGTACCACATTTGAAATTAATTAATCTTGTAACCTATCAGTACTGTACACATGTCCCTCTATCTGTATTGATCTATATATAGAGCATCTATTTGTTCTAGTAAGGGGATTCAATGAGAAGAGCCATTCATTCTACTTTTTGTTTCAATCTTCTTTCTTTGTCTACCTACTCCGTTCTGCATTTCTTCATGGTATCAGAGCGGGTGCCCTCCTGCCTCCTGAAGAATTTTTTTTTTCTTTTTCCATGGCCTCCTCAGCCTCATCTCCGGCCGTCGCTTCTACGGATCATTCCACAGAGAACTCTGGCATCCCAGTGGCACTCAAGTTCGTCGTCTCCAACCTCCGGACGTTCGTTTCGACCTAGTTGTCCACAGACAACTATGCAATTTGGAAAAGCCAGATCGTTAAGTTGTTCAGAGCAAATGGCTTTGAATAATTTCTTGAACCACTTGCATCTCCCCCTCAACCACATGAAACGCAACAAGAACGAACTTCCGTCGCCGATCCTGCTTACAAAGAATGGCTAGTAACCGATCAAAACCTCTCGGCTGCCGTCTGTTCCATCATTTCCGCATCGATTCTTCCATACGTTCTACATCTTGATTCCACCGCTGCAGTGTGGAAGGCTCTCAAGGTTCGTTTTCAATCCACGAACTGCTATAAAGTCATACAGATCAAGAACGAGCTGCACAATGTATCTATGAAGGCGCAGTCCATGTCGGAATACCTTAACGAGATCAAGATTCTCGTCAAACAAATCGCCGCAGCAGGCTCTACAATCGACAATGAAGACATCATTATGCACATCTTGAACGGTCTCCCTTCGCCCTATCAAGCAATCAAGACTTCTATCCGCACAATGCTAAACCCAAAAAGTCTTGAAAATCTCTATGCATTGCTGATAAGAGAAGAGATTCACGTCACAACAGACATCGCAAGAACTGTGTCCGGGACAAATTCTCAGACTGCTCTGTACGCAGCAAGAGGGCGAAACAAACGGAACTGTGGTCGTCCTCAGCAAACTCAAGCTGGCACTGGAAGAAACGCCCAACAGCCGCTCCCAATTTGCCAAATCTGCAACAAAAAGGGTTATATGGCCTCCGTCTCCTAGCATCGCCTCAATGTCAATTACACTCCGCAAACATACTCGCACCCTAACAAAGCAATGGTAGCTACAACTGATTCCACACCAACCGACTGGTATCTTGACTCTGGCGCTTCGGCTCACATGACCAACCTATCTGAAAATATTTCTCAAGCTACTGCCTATCAAGGCTCAAATTCGGTCACCATCAGAGACGGAAGAAACATTCTGATTGCTCACTCGGGCATAAGTATTCTTCCAACTCCGTTCCGTAAGCTCCAACTATCAAATCTTCTTCACATTCCTAGCATATCTCACAATCATATTTCGATTTCTAACCTTGTAAAAGACAACAAAATTTCTATTACATTTAATCCCACGGGCTTTCTTTTCAAGGACATGAAGACGGATCAAATTCTACTTCAAGAATCATGTAAAGATGGCCTTTATCCTCTCACCACTCCACTCGAGACTACCTCTGCTTTTCAATCCATCCGCACCTCCTCCGCCATTTGGCACAATCGACTTGGTCACCCTCATCAAAGGGTCCTGCGTCTCATTGCCGATGCTCACCTCAGCTTCGCATACCTAGTTCTATTTATGTTTGTGTATCTTGTCAATCTTGTAAAGGTCACAAACTATCTTTTGACCACTCTGACAATAGAAAACATACTCCCTTGGAACTTATACATTCTGATGTATGGGGCCCATCCCCCGTTATTTCAAACCAAGGATTTAAATACTACATTATTTTTGTGGACGACTATTCAAGCTTTACTTGGCTTTTTCCAATTCGAAACAAATCTGAAGTCAAAAAAGTTTTCATCGAATTCAAAACTTTTGTTGAACTTCAATCCGCTCACAAAATTAAAATCATCCGCACTGACGGAGGAATGGAATACCTTAATCATAACTTAACTCAATTTCTTCGAGAAAACGACATTCATCATCAAATCTCGTGCATATATACTCCAGAACAAAACGAAACGGCGGAACGTAAGCACAGACACATTCTGGACACCACCAGAACACTTCTTCACCAAGCCTCTATTACTCCTCAATTCAGGCCCGATGCAGTCATAACTGCTACATACTTGATAAACCGCTTACCTTCGGTCAATACGAATGCCATATCTCCTTTTCAAAAATTCTACAACACTCCTCCATCTTACTCTCACTTAAAAACTTTTGGCTGTGAATGCTTTCCACTCACTTCCGGTCATCTTCATCACAAACTTCAGCAAAAATCTATATCGAGCATATTTCTAGGCTACTCAGACAAATACAAAGGTTATAAATTCCTTAACAGAGCCTCCAATTCCATTCACATTTCTCGTGATGTCACCTTTATCGAAAATTCTTTTACCTTCCAGCAAACCAATATATCAGAAGCTCCATCGCAATGCACATCCTTACCCTTGCTTCTATTGCCCACATCAAATGCTAATCAAAATCTGTCCACGTCTCAACTCATAATTACAAATCCCATCCTCTCGTCGCATCATTCTCCGAATCCTCAGCCAACATCCGAAACTACTCTAGCAACTCATCCCATCTCTCCTCCAACTCGTCCTACATCTTCTAATCCTACCTGCATCACACCTCAACCCCCCAAACACACATGATCACAAGATTTCAAACGGGTCACCTGAAACCTCCCAATCGCCTAAATCTGCTACATCAGCAAAACTCTAAATCTCTTTCTTTCGAACCATCAACATACAACGAAGCCATCAAGATCCTTGAATGGCGGCAAGCCATGGCATCTGAATTCTTCTCCCTACAAAAATAAGGAACGCGGACACTAGTTTCTCCTCCACTGCAAGCAACCATACTCGGTTGCAAATGGACTTTCAGAACCAAACGCAACACGGATGATACAGTCGCTCGATTAAAAGAACGACTTGTCGCTCAAGGTAATCACCAAGAGCATGACATAGACTATATGTAGACATTTAGTCCAGCCGCAAAACTTCCCACAATTTGCGTTCTCCTTGCGGTAGCTCTATTTCATAATTGGCCAATTCAGAAATTTGATGTTGCTAATACTTTTCTTCACGGCCACCTAACCAAAATCGTTTACATGAGACAGCCCAAAGGCTTCGAAGACTCCTCCAGTCTTGACCACATTTTCCTTCTACACAAAGCGATATATGGGCTCAAACAAGCCCCCAAGCAATGGTATACCACCTTCACTAACTATCTAATCTCGTTGGGTTTTCAGCACAGACATGCCGATCCCTCCTTACTCTCGTACAAGAAAGATCTTGTCCAAATATACCTATTGGTATATGTCGATGACATACTGCTCACCGACAACAACCAAATAGCCATTTCAAACCTCATTAAGCAGCTCGAATCCAAATTCACAAAAATATCGGGTTGGCAAACCACTTCTTGGGGATTCACATTCGGTCCACTCTAAATGGCTACTTTCTATCGCAGCAAGCATATGCCGAATGAATTCTTCAGCAAGCACATCTTTTTATTTGCAATCCGCTCGCCAACCCAACGTGCAACAAACTACCATACAAAATTAATCCCGATCCTCAACAGTCTGATCCCAACACCTACATGCGCATAACCGGCTCGCTTCAATACTTGACGTTAACTCATCCCGATATAGCGTTTGTGGTTAATGTTCTCTCACATCACATCCATGATACCGACGATCATCATATCTATATGCTAATTAGACTTCTTCGTTACTTATGCGGCACAATTGACTGGGGTCTACCCATTACAAATCAGATCTTCAACTCCGTACCTTCTCCGATGCCGATTGGGCAGGTGATCCGCTCTCAAGGAAATCTACATCTGGCTACTGTTCATTTCTTGGTCAAACTCTCATTTCATGGGCTGTCAAGAAACAAAACACAGTAGCACGATCTTCAACTAAATCAGAATACAAAGCTCATGCGGTCGCCATTGTAGATATAGTATGGCTCAAACGACTTCTTGAAGACTTCAACATCAATCATAGCAATCCTGTTGATCTATTTTGCGACAACATGTCAGCCATAGCTCTAGCCAACAATCCTGTGTTTCATGCAAGAATGAAACACATCGAAATCGATCACAGGTTCATTCGTGACCACATACAGCAAAATCAAATTCGATTACTACCCATCAGTACTATTGATCAAATTGCCAACATATTAACCAAAAACCTCTCAACTCCAAGATTCCAATTCTTGAGACTCAAACTGACAATCACTAAAGATTCGTCAGTTTGCAGGGGACTATTAGAGGCAAAAATGAAAGATCAATAGTACCACATCTGAAATTAATTAATCTTGTAACCTGTCAATACTGTAAGCGTGCCCCTTTATCTGTATTGATCTATATATAGAGCATCTATTTGTTCTAGTAAGGGGTCAATCTTCTTTCTTTGTCTATATGCTCCATTCTGCATCTCTTCAATAAGACTAGAGAGAGTTATTGAAAAACATGATTTATATCAAGGTCAATATGAGAATCTAAGGTTTTTCATTTGAGTTGATCTAAAATTGAATACATAGAATGTAATTTTAGTAATATTAGATATAGTGGTAGAATTATGACAATGGCTGATCATGTCATAAAAAGGAGTGCAAAGATATTTCGGGTCTATTATTCAAAGCGATGGTCAAATAGATGAGAATATTATTAATATATTTCAAGTTGGATGGTTGAAGTGGAGAAATACAAAGGGTCTGTTATGCAATAGAATAGTACCACTCAAACTTTAGAAAAAATTTAATAAGATGGCGATGAGATCTGTAATGCATTATGGCATAGAATGTTGGTATTTAAAAGATAAGCATAAAATTAAGTTAATTATTGCAGACATGATGATGCTCAGTTGGATCAGTGGCTTTATAATTAGAGATAGAATGTGAAATGAGCATATACATGAGTAGGGTTGGAGTAGATCTAATGGCAAATAAGATTAGAAAGAGTAGTCTCAGATCATTTGGACACATAAAGCGTCGAACTTACGATGACCTTGTTAGGAGAGTAGATGTATTATACCTAAAAAGGCATGGTTAGAAAGTATTAAAAATGACTCTATTAAGTTTAAATGAGAATTTGACTCTTATAGAACATAATAAACGAAAAAAAATTTATGTAGTTGACCCCACATAGTGGGATAAAAGCTTCGTGTTGTCGTTGTTCTTGTTATTGCAGACACGTGGACTAATTACCTGATTACATTTTTAAGATAGCAAAATAAATTTAGGGTGTTGATGAAGGGCAAGCCAACAGTTGTACGAAAAATCTTAATTAAGCAAAAACTAAAATACGAGTTTATAAAAAACCTGATCAAGAATGCTTTCATAAAGCACAATTTTATCAAAAGCAGTCATAGAATTTCTTAAAACAAAAAATGCACTGAAGCAAATCTTAATAATAACCCAGCAATATAATTTTTTCTTTTCCTTGCACACTCTCATTGCGTTGTTTTATTGCTATGCTAAATCATAAATTAATATTTGAAAGCATCCAAGTATTATGAATTTCATACTTAATTATCTTGAAATGTGCTCTTTTGATGGATGGACTTTATAAAACTTCGTTATTAATTAATAAAAATTACCTATTATTACTACCTAAATCATTCTATAACCTAAATCATTCTATAATTCGTTATTTAGTACTCTAATTTTAATTTAGCTCATAGATACATAATCATTAATTATCAAATTTATATCTATTATTGGTTATAAAATATAATTTTAAAATTAAAGTTATTGTCATTACCTGATAACTAATAATCAAGCCTACCTTGGACATCTAACCAGTTCATATTACCATCACAACAATCTTTACCGAACAGGTTCATATATCACAACAATTCAAAAAGCAAATTTAATAGAAATTTAACCAAATACTTACAAGATAACACAATACAAAACAAAAAAGCATAACAAAAGTCATCATTGCCAAATGGGTCCTTTACTTCATATTCTCATTTTTATAATGTTGTAAACCATTATTTACGACATCACTTCACTTTCAAACACTCCCATAGATATTTGGATATTGCTGAAAAAACCTAGGCACGTGGGACAGCAACAATAGTGGTTCATAGATATTTCGATAAGAAACATAAAGTGCCATAGTTCATTATATCACAAAAAGGTTTGGTTGTTTGGTTGCATAGATAATTATGAGAAGACCACAGATCAATCCAGTGCTCAAATTTTTTAAAGGGAGAGTGAGCTTGAAGAAGTTGCAGTTATAAGATTCACCTAGCTGATAGCTGCAGGCCAAGATTTAGCCTAGATCAGCAAGGTTTTTGATGCCACTAATTTATCGGAGGATTTTATCGAGCTAGTATAAACCTTAAAGTAGTAGAAAAAGCCAGCCTATCACCAAAACAGGGCCAAAAGAGAAACTTAGCAAAACCTAATAAAATTTATCAACATTCTGTTAGACCGGTCCGATTGGACCGGCTTACGCGAAACTGACGGAGAGTTCCGCCTCCGGTACGCAGGAGTCGTCCGCCCAATTCACCTGTGAGCTGTTTTGGAAGGTTTTTGAAGGGAGTTTGGAGGGAAATTTCAAAGTAGGGTTGTTTAGAGAATTCCTTTTGAATTGTATGCATCAAATAATTTGTTTTCCTAAGTTTAGGGCATCTTGAATTTGGCTGAAATTTGAGATCCCATACGTTTTCTTTGGGCTCTAGCGGCGTCTAGATTCTTACAATAAAATTCCTATTTGTCTCTAATTTTCCATTGGATTTGGGGAGATTATTTGCTGTTTTTCCTAAATTGGTAGGATTTAACCAATACTACAACAAGTCATAATATTCCACTCAATGCTCAATAATTACATAAACATCCACTTACAAGTCCCCATCTCCTTTTCTAAGTGAAAACATGAAGTTAACTGATCAATTTCGGAATAAAGTGCCTAATCAATTCAAATTAACACAACAGATCTTCAAGCTTATCACATATTAATAGAAAGGCAACGAGGCCCATAAACTATTTCCGAACAAACAAATATAGACACACGAGTGCGCCGAAGAAAGAAAAATTAAACTGAAACACAAGCAAAATAGTTAAATAGAACGAACCTCCAGGTAACTGCAAACAACAGTGCTCTGCCGCCCTCCAATTTCTTGGGAAAACCTCACATCTCTGGAAACCTCAGGCAACAACACATCATCGAATGCAATTTGATCCCTAACGTGCTCTTCGTCCACCTCCACAATCCTAGAACTTTTCGTCCCCTTGCAATAAAGCAATCTCGTGTCACAGTTTACATCAAAACCGCTTCCCAGAGCTTGGATCGAACTCCGGATAGTACGAATAGCAGCATTCTCTTCCATCACAAATTGAATCCGAGAAAGCAAATCTCCACCGTTCTATATTATTTCAGTTAACAAAGACCTAATACACAAAGCTCAAAAACACAGCTCCAACTAGCGAATTCAACCAAGAAGTCTCTCTACAAATGGAACCCCAATAAAGAGCAAGAAAGTGGTCCTTCTTCGCCATATGGGTTTCCTAGAAAGTCGGAAGAGCTTGGAAGAACTGAAAAAGGCCTCAGCTTTCTGAGTGCCGCTCTTTTTCCTACATCTATTTTCTCGAAATCTATTAAAAAAACCCCACTGAACAGAGGAAATCAAGAACTCCCACTTTTTCTAATCCCAATCCCCGAAGCCCCAAAAAGAGCACGAAACAAAGAAGTTTCCAATTGCGAAATTAAAATGGACTCGCTGTCATTCTCAGGAAATTTAAAGCGAACGGAAAGTAAATTGATTCGGTGCTGAAGACCTCACTCAGTCCCCAAAGAACAGTAACGACACAGCTTGCCAATGAAGAAGATTTCAGCTCCGGACTCACACCATAGCGTTGACTGCGAAATAATCCTCTCCAAGAAAAAGAGCGCTCAATTTCTAAGAAAGGCAATATTTAATCCCATCCAGTGGTACGTAGGTTCCCTACCAGGACTCAACGCCATGACAGAGATCTGAGGCCGAGGGCAAATTATTATGTCCGAGGTCAATAAAATATTATTTTAAATCAAATTTTTAATTGTGCAGTTAAAATGTATCTAAAGCATAGTCAAAACACAGTCAAAACACAATCAAAATGCACCTAAAGCGTAATTAAAACTCAGTCAAAGAGTAGTCAAAAAATACAATCAAAACGTAATATATGTGACAAATTTTTCTTAGATGTCTGGACCTATTTTTAAATCCCATGACCGGACCTAATAATTTGCCGAGGCCGAGGGAGATGAGGTCAGGAATGGGTTGATTGTTTACCATTTTATTTTTTATCATTTTGACAAGTAAGCCGTGCCGGCCCGTGCGTCTACTCAGCGATTCCCTCGTCAAATGGCAAACAGTAATTAATTCCGACGGCAGCTCGCTCACTTGTCGATTTGCTGCAAGTGGTAGGAATCCAAATAACAGTTGACAAATGGACGACTGTGATACTCATTAGAAACATATGGTTAGATGTTTATATTAAAAATTTGAATAATCAAATTTACAATAATTCAATTTCCAAGTCCAACAAATTTATGATTAGATTAAATACATAGATGAGGTGAATCCGACATATAAAAAAAATCCATTAGGATTGAGCCCAAGTTAAAAACTTGAAGTGTGATTGAAAATTTTAGAAAATTAATTGAAGGATTAAATAGTTTCTAAATCTTATTTGCTATAGAAAAATCAAATGGTTCAATGATATAAATCAAAATCAGTACCACTCAATTTCAAGTTTATTAAAGTACTTAAATGTTGAATGAAATTTCTATAATTAAATAATTTAAAATGTGTTGAAAATTTTACTCTCAATATACTATAAATTGACATTCATTCTTCTTATACAAAGGATATTTACTTGAGTTTGGAGAGAGCTCTGAAATCTAAAGAACTATAAAGCTCTATTTGATGTTTGACGCTAACATTAAATGTCAGCGACTGTCATTATCTGACAACAATCGTCTAACTAACACTATCCAACCTCGTCACATGGTTTGCATAATCCATTCAATGTCATTTGACCATCACTATCCAATTGCCATCATCCAACCGCTATCTCCGGATCGACGTTTGATCAACATCACCAACCATCATCTAACCATAAACTCCCAAGTATTATCATTCAATTGTAATTTTCCGATTAATATCATCCAATAGACATTATGATTCCTCAACTACTTTTTTCCAAAAAAATCGTACTACAATTACCAGAGATCAAGCTTGAGAAAACTAGTTTCTAATGTCATCATCTTCTTTTATGAGAGAAAAATCATATCTCTATAACGTTATTTATATAATGAACTATTTCATCTAAGCAAGGGCCATGCGATTTTTTTTCCTCTCTAAGTTTTTCATATAGAAACATTATATCTCATTTATTTGTACATTTGCAAGATTTTCTTGTGAAGCTAGAATGTAAAATTCTCTCTCTATTGCTATAATTTTTTTTGCATGTAATAAATTAGCTGTTGCAACTTAGTTTTCATATCATGTGTGTTTTTGATGATACCAAAATATTATTGTATTAATACTGTTTCTCCTAACATATATTGGAAATATTACTTTTGTTGTTTGTGTGTACTAATATTTCAAGAAAATCATACTTCATATTGTTGAAGACTTCAATACAAATTAGACTAGGATTTATTATATTTGAAGTCTGTATTTTTTATATTTTTCTTGAGTCTGAGTGAGTGTTATTGTAATTGGGTAACCGCACACACACACATTGGAAGAGTGTAAAAATTTAAATTTTTTAAAACTAATCGTACTGTACGATTTTGAATCATATGGGATGATTTGACCTGAGCGTTCCTCCATAACAGAGTTAGACAAACCATGCTAGGAAGATTTTTTAAGTCCTTTTCGTACTGTATGAAGTTGCCTTCGTACAGACGACGTCTAGAGTATGAAATATATATGTATAATTTCATCCCGACTGAATTCAAAATTTTTATGAACTGTCCGTACTGTACAATCTTAGGTTAGTACATACAACATCTAGAGTACGAAATGGGTGTGTATCATTTAGTCCATACAAATAGATAAATTTTTTGAACTTTTTCGTACTGTACGATCCTAGGATCATATATATGACTTCTAGAGTACGAAATGGTCTTATGTATTTTTGTACCAAACAAAACATGGTTTGATTAAAACTTATCATGTTGTATGATATGAGGTTTATATAGTATGTTATCTAGAGTACGAAATTAGTTCATACTAAAATGTACCAGACGAATATGTTCAATTTTGAACCGATTGTACTATACGATGTCAGTTCGTATACATGTCAATTAGAGTATGAAATTGGTTTATACATGATCGTATAAGCAAATTTTGAACTGTTTGCACATACGATGTTCGATCATACTATACGATCATGGGTGGTCAAATTGAAATTTTTAGTTTTCTTGACGGTGTTTTGTATCTTCCATATATATGTTGAGTATAGTAATTAGGTTGTTAAGCCTAAGTTAATGTCCCAAAGGCTACCAAGAGGGGGGGTGAATTGGTAGTTTAAAAATTTAAGCCCTCTTTTAAATTATGTTTGAACCGAAATAAAAATTGTTTCTTTTAAGTTTTGTATCGAGCATGTAAAGCGTGCAAATAGCAACTATCTTAACAATCTCCCCCTTTTTGATGATGGCAAAATGATTATTGTTTGTATGATTTCAAATTAAACCAATCTCCTAAACTCCCCCTGAATTGATGTATATATAAAAATAAGGAAGGCATTTTGAACCAAAGAACAAAATTTTTGTTTTTCAAAAAAAAAAATTTTAACAAAATTTCAAAGTCAAACACAAAATCAAAATGCAAACAAAAAATAATTAAAATAAAATAAAACATACAAACACAATAATGACAAAACATACAAACACAATAATTTCTCCCCCTTTTTGACAACAACAAAAAGTGAAGAAGAAATAGACAAGAAATGTAAGAAATTATATGAAATTCATTTGAAAATTTAATCTAAATGGTGATTGTCATAAGGTATGCAATCTAAAACTAATAATATTAGGTCAATCATAGAAATTCATAAAATTTAAGAAGTGATATAACATTGTAAGTAAGAAGAATTTATCAAAGACATGATTCAATTTAGACATTCAAATATAGAAAATCATTACAAGAGAGATGTATAAAAATTCTATATTTCAAAGTTCAATAGAATATAAATGAACATAAGATCAATTTGAATTAAGAGATTGAAAGAATTTCAAAGTTCAATAGAATACCTAAAGAGGGAGTCTTCATATAGTGGACGTAGGTCTTATTAGACCGAATTACTATAAATTTCTATGTTATTTTGTTTTTTATTTTTATCAAAATTTTCAACACTTTTAATTTTGTGGTTGAAAAGTTTATTTTGGAATAATTAAATTGTGTTAAAATCATAAAATGGTTTTCTACATTTTACCAAGAGAATTTTAAATTACTAATTCACCCTCCTCTTGGTTAGCATTGGAACAACTGTAATAGGTTTAATAACCTATACATACTTTCAAGTCGTATTAGAGCTAACTTTCAAAAATTAAAGTTTAGATAACTTTTTAAAAAATGATTATGACTACTTTTGAAAATTATAACACATATGAAGGGTATTCGATCACTAGACCTCTATTTTTTGATAACATTCCTTTCGATTTTTGAAAAACATGTATATCTACTTTTTCTTTCAATCGCTTAACTATCGTATATGGATTTTAGTATAGGAAGGATACACTAGGCCAACTAAACTTGTAGATGTCATTAGAATTGAAACACCTTCTGCTGACTAGATTGTAGAAGAAAAAGACTCAGCTCAATTAAATGTTAAATATTTAAACAATTTTTATATGAACATAAATCTGAAGACTATATGCATGTCTTTACTTTTAAAATTGAAAAAGAAATTTGGGATAGACTTTGTATCACATATGAAAGGACTAACAAAGTAAAACAATTTAGATTAAACATTTTGTTATTTGATTATGAACTGTTTAGTATGAAATCAAATGAATCAATTACATATATGTATATATGTTCACATAAAAAGTCACATCATCGTATGCTTTAGGTAGGGATTTAATGAATATTAAAAAAGTAAAAAAAAAAATACTTTGTTATTTTTCTACTACTTATGATGTAAAGATAACTGCTATAACTGAATCAAAAGATTTAAATATTTATTCTATTAATAATATTCTTGGATCACTAATTACTTATGAGCAAGAATTGACTCAAAGATATATTGATGCTGGTGAGAAGCGAAAGGAGAAAAACATAACGTTGAAAGTGGATGACTCGGAGAGTGATCAGTCTTAGCCTGAGGAAAAAGATGATATTGCCATGATGACAATGCAATTCATAAATTTTTTAAAGAGGAAGCAAAAGAGACATCAATAGTGGAATAAAGGTAAGTTCCAAAAAATGCTAAGGATTCTAATGATTTAATTTACTATGAATTTACGTGTTGACCTCATTTTTGTATGAGGTCTCTAATAGACTCTAAAATCAATTCAAATTCAAATCAACCCAAACTCAAGGCTAAAGGCCCAAGTCCTGAAAGCCTTTTCTAGTGAATTTTTAAACAGTTCAAAACCCAATCAAATGGACTCTGATTTAGGCTCTGTCAGTTTCATACTGATGGGATATGTCTCTAGAGTCAACCCTCCAAATTTGAACCTATTCTGAGGTCTCTAACCCCAGAAACTAAATTGAATTTCAAAGGTTGTAAAATCTTCAAATATTTACAACCTATGCCACTGGGCCTGCCACTTAGAAGATCTTGACCTTGGAGTCTTCACCAAAGCATGCAATCACTTCCAGACCATTAATCCTGACATGTCGATCAATAAACTGTGTTTTTTTGGACTCATTTCAACCCCCAGTGGTCATGAGCCCAAAATGACCAAAATACCCCTAGGGGGCTCAATTTGGGATTTCAAACCAAATGATCTCCAAATTGGGTGCAACCACCTCCAACAAGT